AGAGCGTGGACGGGCGCGGACCTGGGTAGAGGTTGTAGACTGCCATTTTATACTCTTCTTTTTTCCGTACAGTGAACACGTGTCCGCTGAAATGAACAGAATGGATGTTTTCATTGCTGCCCATGCTGAGCAGGTACCAGCGGGTCCTTTCATCCTGAGCCATTACCAAGCCGGGCAGAGTGTCCATCACATAGCCATTGATTCCTGGAGAAGGAGAACACAGAGGAGGCTGTCAGAATCTATTCTGGGAGTTTCCTTTCCTCCATTCCAGCCAAAATTATCGGTTCCTATGAGGATTCCACTCGCATACGTACACTGTCAATACATACAGTGTCTGCGCCTCATTTGGCGTAGTGCGTGCCGCACGTCACAGTGAGTAATATTTGGGGGCGGGATGTATTACCGTGGAAGCGATACTTTTCTTTAAAGGTGGGGTCCTCCATTTGGATGTTGCAGGGAGCCCTGCAGTTCCTTTCCACGTTTTCAGTGAAGTACCAGCTCTTGGTCTCATCAAAAATAGTGAAAAACAGAGCAAATTCCTGCACCGTCACTTGTCTCCCGTGGGCAGGGTTCAGCGTGTTAGCGCGACAGATCAGAAGCGGCCCCATCAAGCCTGAGTGCACGTCTCTTTCCTGGGAGGGAAGACGCCCCCGTGGTGAGTGCCCACGCTCTCGCCTATGAACCACAGTGGGTGCCATGTCACCTTCTGTGCCGCTGCAACCCACTCCCCACCTTCCCAGGACAATCCACCCTCTCAGCGGGGCCCAGAGTGATATTTCTAAAACACAAATATGATGCCACCTCCCTTACTTAAAGCCTCCCATTGTGCGTAGGGTCAATACCAAAATTCTAAGCAGACATGGCAGGGACTATTTCTTTTAAACCAGAAAGTGGCTAGCACAATGTAAACTGCTTTACCAAATCAACATCCGAAAAGTAAGCCCAGGCTTTGCAGTCAAACTCGTCTTTAGTGGGTGCCATGTGATGTTGCACTTTCCAAAAGTAAATTTTGGTTTCGTTAGGCTTGACAAACTTCTTTCTAGGTTCCACTCCTTCCCTCTGATCTTCCTCATAAGAAATAAGGCTGGAATAGAAGGAGTAGGGACGAGAGGCCTGGTTTTTGAAAGTTATCTGCAGAGCAAAAAAAAAGTGCAAGTATCTTAGGGTTTATAGTCCTAATACTGATGCCTCTTTGATGCGTTTTATCCAAGTTTTAATACCCAGAGGAAGTTGTGCAAAAGATGGATGTTGTTAGAACCCAAACCTAAAGATCTGTAGGGGAAACTCTGGGGAATTTTTGAATTAAAAAAAAAATTAAGGCATGTGCTCAGAGCTGCAAAGGAGAAAATTCCTAAATGCCCAAAAGCAATTTCAAAGTAAAGTGAAAATGTCACCACAGGGATTTTAAGAGACCATAATCCCGGGAGTGGACACTTCAGGTTCTTCATGACAGATTCCAGGATGAAGGCATCATCTCTAAAAAACACTTGGTTTTCAGATTTGAAAAAATTATACATGTTTCATAGGACATACGGAAAGTAAAATCAAAATCAAGGCAGAAAAAAGTCACTCACAATCCTGTAATTTGAGATCCTTCTATATCCTTCATGTAAACTATCAATTGGGACACCGAGTGACTACTTTTGGGAGAAAATAAAACTCCTTTAATCTTTGACTCACACAGTGTACTGAAATGACTTCTAGCTTATAGAAATTACTGATGGATTTAAAAGTTAAATGTTAAGAAATTAAACTGTAAAAGAAAGTTGAAGAAAGTATAGGTGACCATAAGAAAAAAACCTCTGTATAGGGAAGGATTTTTACAAACACAAAAGCTATGAAAGTATCCAAAGGAAAGATCTATGGATTACTTCCTAAAATATCAAACTTGTTTTTGTTTAAAAGCCACTATATATAAATTTAAGAGACAATAAACTTAAAAAATACTATTCACTAAAATGACCAATGATCATTAGTAAATCAATTATCTATAATATATGAGGTAATATAGATTAATAGAAACACTGCCTCCAAAAATGTCAAATGTGCAAAGGACATGAATAGACAATTCATTACAAACAGTCTTAAATGTTCACGTATGTTGCACTTTTAGAATTTTATCTTAGGAAAAGAGTTGTGATTGCAGCATTATTTAAATAGTGTAAAAAACTATCTAAAAGATCGTTCAACATAAATGGTTAAGTAAACCATAAGTTTATGTAATAGATTATTATACCATCACTTAAAAAAAGATACTTAGGAAATGTTGTTAATGACATAAGAAATGTTCATGACATGATATTTAGTAAAAAAAAAAAAGTAGAATTATTGTGTAATTTTGTATAATTTTGAATACATAAAGAAGACTATATAGGAAAAAGATAACATTCACCAAAATGATAATTATGAGATTATTTTCCAACTTCTTTATTGTCTAAAATTTTTCGAAAGTGATAATATATTATTTTTTAGACTCAGAAACAAAAAATATGGAGGATTGTCTTGTAATTACATTGTCCTCAACTCACCATGATATTGTCTTCGACTTCCGCTCTTATACATGGCCCCAAGAGTCCCAAGTGTTCATTGAGTTCTCCACGGTACAGGGGCTGAGTGAAGGAGCCATCAGTGAACTCCTGGAAAACCACCTTCTTGAACTGAGGGACCCCTCCACTCTGAGCCCTGAAGAAAAAAGCAGAGGAAGAGCAAGATCCTCATGGACCAGGTATGTAGAAACATCTCATATTCTTGCCTTCCCTGTATATGAGACACATTTAACAGAATCGATTATTCACTGGAAATGTGAGGGATTAGAGACAACTTTCAGGTTTCTGATATGGGCAAATGGTGATGCAGTTCACCGAGACAGGGAACCCCAGGGAAGGAGCAGGTGGGGTGTGCAGTTTTGGACACACGGGACATCTGTGTGAGTTAAACTGGCAAACGCACGGAGGCTGGGAGTTCACGAAAGAGGTCTAGATGAAGATCATCCATATTTAGATGCTATCCAAATCACGTGGGTGGCTCATCAAAGCCAATCGTCAATTTCGTTATGTCTTTGACAGCTAAGCAACATCCGCATAGTTCGCCACTGCTTCCTCCTTGAAATACTGGCTCCAGGCTTCACTTAGTGTGTCAGTTCTAGGAAGGCAGGGGGCTTTCTCTGTTTTGTCCACTGCTGTATTCCCAGCAGTTGGAACAGGGGCCTGGCACATGACAGGTGCTCACAAACTATTTCTTGAGTGTTAAATGGATGTAGGGTTTATAAATATTCTAAATATAAGAGAGCCCCAGGGTTCAGTCCTGGGATCGCTTTTCTTTTTGAAAAATCTGTTAAAATCGTGAATTAAAATGATACAATACATACATAAAACATAAACGCTTTCGGTAGAAAAATGCAGCCAGCATCCAGAAGACTCACCATATGTACTGTTCCAGTCACAGCCTCTCCGTCCCCACTAAAGGCAGCCGCCATTCTGATGTTTAGGATAATTATTTCTTTGCTTTTCTTCACAATTGTACTACTTATGTATACATCGCTAAAGAACGTAGTTTAGTTTTGCCCATTTTCGAAGCATGTAAATGGAACCATATGGTATGCGTTCTTTTGTGGCTGGCTTCACTCAGCATCACGGTTGTGAGACTCACCTACGTTGTCGTGTGCAGGTAGCTATAGTTTGTTCGTTCCCGTTGCTCTGTGGTATTCCACGGTGTGGATGCACCTCAGTCATGGACGTTCATTCCAGTTGTTTCTAATTTTTGCTGCTCACCTAAAGTCCTGCCATGAACCTTCCTGTACACATCTTTGGGTGAACATGTATATGCATTTTTGTCGGGCACATACCGAGGCGTGGAATTGCTGAGAATGCATGTGTTCAGCTTTGGGAGATACTGCCACACTGTTTGCAAAGCTTCTGTGCCAGTCTCCACTTCCATCAGCAATGGATGCAATCCATTTGATCCAGGTTTTCATAAACACTTGATATTGACTGGTTGCATAGCAACGTGTCTGTGGTTTTATTTTGCATTTCTCTGATCGATAATGAACTCGAGCATCTTCCCTCATGACTAGTAGTAGCTATTTAGATTTCTTCCTTTGTGGAATGCCTATCCAAGCTTGGTTTGTTTGTTTTTCCAGTTTTTCTACTGGATAACCTGCTTTTTTATTGATTCAAAGGAGTATAGTCTTGATATGAGTCTTTTGTTGGCTTTTTTGTGCTACAAACATCTCCTATTCCGTGACTAATCTTTTAAGTCTTTTTTCTTAGTTCATAATCTCAACACTGTGAAATTTATCAAGAAGCCTTCATGGAAAAAAATCCTTTATGGTTACAGCTTTTCGCATCTTGACGTCAATTCTCTTTTTCACCCCTAACTCTGAAGTTATTAAGATGTTCACTTATGTTTTTCCTTCTAAAAGATTTACGGTTTTATGTTCACGTTTAGACCTGGAACCCAACATGAGTGGATTTTCGTGTATGGTGTGAGTTAAGGATCTGTTTTTCCATATGGGTATCAAAATTTCCCAGCACCTTTTATTGAAAACTGCTCTTCCACGACACCTTTGTCATAAATCAGGTGTCTTGTATGTGTGAGTCTAGTTTTGGTTGTTCTTTTTCATTGACCTCTTTGTTTACCCCAATGACAGTTACCATGCTGTTGTTATTACTATAGCTTTAAAATAAGTTTCAATATGTTATACAATTCCTTCTACCTCATTTTTCATCTTTAAGAGGGTCTTGGCTATCCTTGGCCCCTTTGCATTTTAAAACTAGCTTGTTGGGTTCTATGAGAGAAAAGACTTGTTGAGATTTTCAGTTGAGTTGTACTGAATCTATAGATCAGTTTGGGGATAATTTACATTTTCACATGTTATGCTTCCCAGTCCATGTACGTGGCACATATTTGCATTTATTTAGGTCTTCTTTAAAGTTTCCCATTAAATTTCCAGTTTTTCCATAGAGGTCTTGAAAAATTTTTGTCATACTTATTTCTAGGCACCTCTGACTGTTTTGTTCCATTGTAAATGGCATGTGCGTTTGACTTCATTTTCTACCTGACTGCTGCTATTATATAGATGTATAATTATCTTTGGTATGTTGATTTTGAATTCTACAAATGTGCTAACCTTCTCGGTTAATTCTAATCATTTATTTTTAGATATTTAACATTTTTTTCTTTGTGCCCAGTTCATATCACCTGTAATCAAGGACCCTTTTGTTTCTCCCTTTCCAGCCTTTCTACCTTTTGAATCATTTTATTGCTTAGGTGTGTTGGTTAGCACCTCCAGTACAGTCTTGAATAGAAAGTGGCGATAATGAGGGGTGATAGCTTGTTCTAGATCTGCAAAGGAAAGCCTTCAGTGGGTCAGCATCAAATATGATGCTTCGTGGAGACATTTTAACATTTAAAAAAATTATTTATTTAAATTGGTTTCAAGTATACAGTACATCGATTAGACATCTATATAGTTCGTAAAACGATCCCCCCAGTTGCTGCCTCCCTCCCCCGACCCTCCACCTTGCCATCATATTAATGCTAACTGCATTTCCCATGCCGTGCTCCCCATCTCTGTGACCAACTGTCAACTACTAATTTGTACTCGGCGGGCATTCTTGTAGATACTTTCTCGGGATAAGGGAATTCCTTT